CAGGAATGCAGCCTAATAGACTTGCCCTTGGGCTTATTTAGACTTGCACAGTTAAAGGGGTAATATTTCTAAACATGGTTCAACATACAACTCTTATTTTGTTACTGTCTTGCCCCGGGTTGTCACAACATGCTCCAGCCAAAGATAACCCAAGGCTTCCTTGCTGAGAGTTTGCTCACAACTGATATCTGAAGAAACTGAAAGGTTTCTTCTACAAATGGCAAGTATTATCAAGCACTGGCTGACCTGATCCTCTGTAGTCAGAATGTAAACCCCCTTTTGCGAAAACAGAGGTATGAATGGCTAAATTCTGTTGTCAGTAATTCCTTTTTGTGCATCTAACTTCCATTTGCTATTTCAACTGGTTATAGGATACTGCAGTTCCAGTGAGATGCTCTTGTATAGTGTTGGCAGGTACTCTTAACGCTACTGTATGGGTGCACTGAAGAATAGACTCTCATTCCTGTATATACACTTGCTGTATGCAGATTTATAAAGCACCATAAGAGCCTTCTGGGTGCACGGCATTGTGTACAACAGTAAACATAAATGTTTTATATAAAGCAGCATTTTTGGCATTGTGAAAAGAACCAAAAACATGCAAAAATTAGTAGGTAAAGGAGGAAGCCTATTATTTTAAGGATAATATTAGTAAAAAGTTAGAGAATGATTCACTTCTGACTGGGTGACTCATGCTCTCAGAGAATAAATTATCCAAAACAAGTGAGTCAGAAATAGATGCTATGGTGTTATTATTGTTTTAATCAGATGGCTATTGCTGACACAAATAAACGTGAGGCTTGATTTCAGGTCTAACAAATATAGCTCTACCCTGCAAATTGTGCCACAGTGCTGTTTGAGGATGTACTACCCATGCCAAATTTGTTTATCTGATGTTTTGTTTTCAGTTTTAGGTGGATGGTAGAGCTAGCTACAAGGAATGTAAAGCAGCCTGGAACAAGGCCACAGGGAATCTCAGCAGTGAACATGGGAAAAGGGACGTCTAACATGGTGTGTATTTCTTTGCTTCCAGGAACTGTAAGCACTGATTTATCAAAATCTGTTCACAAGAATGTTCTTTGTCATAAACTTTTCACCCCAGAATTCTCAATAAAACATCTGTTGGATGCTATTGAGAACATTGACATGGGGAAGACAGGAAGATCTATCCCATCTTTGCTTGGGATGGATCTATAGTACCTTGGTAAAATTGCCTTTATGGAGGCAGCCAGTATTGTGTCAATAAGCATATAAATGCCTTGAGAGATTTGTGCTTTATATAGTTATTTTTGGTGTAGCTTATTCTGGAGGATCCAAGAGATAATGGAATTGAGCCCTACCTTTGCTAATGGCAAGCTGTATATCTGAGCGAGTAACTTCAATTTTTTCTTTCCTCAGACCGCTATTTGATAATTTGCAATAATAATACTTTCTACACTGTGGACTTCTATAAAGCTAAATATATTGGCTATTACTAGCTGCACATATTCTTGGTAGGCTGTAATCACAGAATAACAGAGTGGCTGAGGTTGGAAGGGACCTCTGGAGATCATCTAGTCCAACCCCTCTGCTCAAGCAGGATCACCTAGAGCACGTTGCCCAGGATCGTGTCCAGATGGCTTTTGAATATCTCCAGGGAAGGAGACTCTACAACCTCTCTAGGCAACCTGTTCCAGTGCTCAGTCACCCTCACAGTCAAGAAGTTTTTCCTCATGTTCAGACGGAACTTCCTGTGTTTCAGTTTGTGCCCGTTGCCTCTCGTCCTATCGCTGGGCACCACGGAAAAGAGTCTGGCCCCATCCTCCTAACACCGTCCCTTTGGATACTTGCATATATTAATCAGATCCCCCATCAGTCTTTTCTTCTCAAGGCTGTGATCATTCAGAACATGAGCTAGGTTCTACTCATAGAGCTTTCAAATCATTTCTCAGTTTCAGTAAGCTTGCTTATTATCAGTTAACTTTAAAAAAAAAAAAAGACACCTCTGTTTCGTTTAATTTAGCTTCTAAATAGTGGTGGAAATTAAAGTGGTAGTCTAGTAATATCATGACTCCGAGCTGCCCAGTGATACCAAAATGATAGGGCCACTACTAGCCTTGTGCTCTATCTGCCATGGCGCACATGAGGATGACAGCACGGGTCAGCACTGCCATGCACCCCTGAAAAGTATGTCCAGTTATTGAGGCCTATATCCCCTTTGCTCCCTCCTCCTTCCTGTAGCTACTTTGCAGATTGTTTCCAGAGAGTGCTAGTTACATAGCTTCTCTTCATCAGAGCAGAGGGAGAAGGGTGGAGGAGGGATGGGCTTTATTCTTTCCTCCCAGCAAAATACTGGACCAGAGCTGGCACAGATGTGGAAACAGTTGGAAGGATGTGGCTGCACAGAACGGATTATGTTGGGTCAAGGCATGCTGTGTTCTGGGAAGAATGGAGGAGGATGAGGAGGACCAAGTGCTATCTTGCGTTACAATCTCCATTTCAGATTGCAGTCTTCTAGGGAGATATCCACCTCCTCGGCACATGAAGGCTGAGGTGGAGGACAGAGATTCCTGTCCCCAACAATAATTTTCCAAAACTCCATTGACCCATTGTGTGGTAGGATTGCAGTATATGTAGGAATGGCGCTATTTTTTGGTATTGTGAAAGATTCAAATGATATCATCACGCCACTAAGCCTAAATAGGAAGGTCTGTACGTTATAATCTAGCCTCATCCCATCATGATCTGGGTTAAAAGTGGGAGGTGACATAAAAGGAATTACCAAAGCACAAACAAAAGACAATATACAACTTTGCTGAAGTTCCCTGTAGAGTATTTCTTAAAAACAATTTAAACAATTGCAAACGACTGTTGGCTGCAACTTTTTTTTTTTTTTTTAAGTGCTGCAGTTTGCAAGGTGATATCACAATGTGGGTCTGATCCGATGAAACCAAAGCTAATGCTGATGCCTGCATGTGATGGAAACAGAACTCAAACCACGAACTTGGGTACACTGGCCTCATATTAGGCAAGTCTGTTGCTCACCTTCCCCTTTTCCCCCTGACTCCCTTTGTCCCTTTCCTTCCTCAGGATCATTAACTCATATCAGAGTTCAGTGTCACTGATTGCGGGGAACTCGGTCTCACTTGGCTGCACATGCACCCCTCTCTAAAGAAGTGAGGTGCTACCTGTGTGTCAGACTTATCACGCAATGAAAACATGGAACACATTTTTATCATAGTACTTCTGATTTATTTTCACTTGAGGCAATGAAGAGGAAAGTTTGGCAAGTTTTAGAGAAGTGTTCATGTTTCTCTAGTATGATTCTTAAACTAGGAGTGGATAATAACGTTAGAAGTTATTCATATTCATTGCTCATAGCCATACATCCTTGTTCTAAAAAGTAGGCTGTTTGCTGGTTTAGCTGAAAGTATTGCTGTACTGAGACAAGAGAATGTCTAAGAAAACTGCACCTATTCTCTTGATTTTGTTCAGCTCTAAATGTACTAGAGAACAGATCAAACAACTATTGACGTAGAGAAAAACAGAAATTATGTCAAACAAGGACTTCAAACAGTGTGTTTTGAGGTCAGTAACCTAAGCACCTAGAACTTTGATCACGCTGGTAACGACCAAATGACATAACCTTTGTGGATGTACGTGTAAAGATAAATAGGTAGCTCTTCATTGAATTTTACAAACAGAACAGCAAAACACTGGTGAAGTGAAAATGTATATTCCTAATAGGATTGGGGAGCTTCAACAGAGGAAACCAATACTGATGAATTAGCTTGCTGAAATTGCAAGCAAGATTTTTTTTGTTTTTTAAGATAAATGGGTCCTGTTTTCAATATGCGGTATGAAGGAGGAGTCCTGCCATATCAAATGGAAGACAGCATGTTCTGTCTGATGAAATGTAAGTTTGACTGCTAATCACGGTCCAAAGCATTGCTAGATTAATAGCCAATTTGCTGAGAATACAATTCCAGGAGAACTGAAGCTATTTGTTGATTCTGTGATCGACTGAGGAAAAAATGGGAATTTCTTTTAAGAAAATTAATATATATTTATGATGTAGTCAAAAAGAAGTCTTTTAGAATATCATTTTGGTACTGATCCTGCAAACGGCTTAAAAATCTGAGTGAATCATGGAATAAGATAACTATATTTCCTGTTTAGGGAGGGGGCTTCATTTCCTTTTGAGTCAAACTGATCTAATCTTGGTTTTAGTTTGGAGGTGAGGGCTGTCTGCAGATCCAGTCTCAGCTCTCTCATTGCTTTGTTTTGTTTATGTCGTTTTTGCTTCTGTGTCTTTAAATGAGAGGTGAGAAGAGCAATTATTCACAGTTTGTAAAGTGTCTGAAGATCTGTGGGTACAGAGTGCTACATAAATGCAAAGTATTTAAATTCAGAACTATGTTATGTCTTCTTCCTTTTTAATTATGCCAGTCTGTGCTGTGACTGGAATCAATCTGCTTATAATCAAATTTATACTTTGTTGGTAAATATGGGGGAGTTGTTTATTTTTTACTACAGGCTCTCACTGAAACTAGGATTCCAGCCTGATTTCTCTTTGCAGAGAAGAGATCTCAGAAACCTTTTTATTAAGTATTTTCATTGAATAAGTAGTCCTTACTGATCCTATAAAAGCAGTCATGCTGCTTCAATCAAGTGCTGATTGCATTTGCCTCAAAACGTGGGAATTAATCCCCTCTAAAAATGCATTGGTTTGTGCATACATTGTTTAGTTTATGTATTCTGGGAGGATTTAAAAACTGGAAAGTGGCAAAATGAGGAGGTCATAAACCAGACAGTTTCTCTTGGTTTAGGGTTTTAGGTCAGGTCTCCTGACTTTTGTGCCTGTGAATGTAGACTAAATCATATAATTAGAGTGTTTCAGAAAGATTTTTGTGAGCCTCAGGCATTGTTCAGATTGTAATCAAATCCCACTACTGACTCCCCCAGGGAAGAGGCTATCCACAAAGAATTATAGACCCAATCTTTCTTTGGAGTTGTCTGAAGAATAACTTGGGAAGTGTTACACTTGCAGTGTTTGTTGGGATCTTCTTATCATTGCGATCCTTGACCTCTGATGCCTCATAACAATTGCAGCAGTTATTTCCTCATACCTTCACCTGCACTTCCCTTTCTGGCTTGAGTGCATTGCTCTTTTTTCTTCTAAGAGGAAGTGGAATGGAAAGAATAGATACATGTGTCCTTTGAATCTTTAGTATGTGAAAACATTTTCTAAATGAAGGAAAAATCAGTCAGTGCTTGCTACTCTTAAAGTAATTGGACAAGAAGTACCTAAGACGGATATGTTAGCCTCATCAGTTATGTTTTCAATGGCTATACAGAGGTTTTTAAACAAAAAAGTATCATTTTTTCTGTTGAACAGGAGACACGTAATGCTTTTGTTTTCTTTTCCCTTCTGCAAAATGGTTGACACTAAAACTCGTTCTGCAGTTTCTTCATCTGATGCCCGTGTCAAAACTGAGGATAAATAAAACAATTCTGGTTGGCACTGTTCATGAAATGAAGAAGTCTGATTTACCATTCTTCGGTTAAAAAGAATTAATGTGTATAATTAGGACCTTATATTTGAATGTCAAAAGAATGCTTTGGTCCCAAGATGCTCAGTCATATGTTACAGAATGTTAGAAAATCTTTTGTGGCCCATTGTACTTGGAATAGATGTTCCTTAGACCTTTACAAATTGGATATTGATTGCAAAGAACTTGTTTTGATGACCCAGGTGGTTGCTTTGAGTCTTCAATTCCTATTAGACCAAGAGTGTGTGTGTGTATTTTACTACAAGAAAATAACCATTTTGGTGACGTAAGGTTCCTGCAGTGAAATACAAGTTGTTTCCTATGCAAGAGAGGTCCTGGAAGTTTATTTGTAGTGTTTTTTGCACAGTGTTCCCAATGAGGAGACAGAAGTCTATGACTGTAGTCCTATTTTGCATTTTTCTTGTATACATAGTTCGTACTGACCTCGTGAAAACCTGACATCACTAAATTTGGCTCTTGGACAAAACAAAATTCATTGCACAGAACAGACTATTCACTATCATATTTACTCTAAAAGGTCACCAATGCCAGAAATATCATGGAATGTAACATTAGCATAATGTTTGGTTGTTTCCCTTCTTCATAATGTTTAGTTGTTTCCCTTCTTTGGTTACTAGGTAGCTGGAGCCTTCAGGAACAAACTTGTCATTTACAGCACAGCCCCTTCCTACACAGGACTCTCTAGTTCTTTGCAAACATGGACTTTAAAATGATATTTTTAAAGGATTAGCATTTATTGAGTTTTATTGTGTGTGGTTTTAGCTTAATCTCACAAGGACAGATTAAATGTTTTTTTCAGCCTCAAAAACCTAAACAAACCTTTGGTGTATTTATCTGAAAGCAAACTCATATAGTTCAAGTATTAAAGTTTTACCTCCAGACTCAGTTGTGCTGTTTGGACTGCACGGAAATGGCTGGTTCAGAGGGACACCTCCCTGTTAATACTGAAGGTGTTTGAGAAGTGTGGTTTGTTTTATTGTTACACTGATCCCCATCTGTGGACTCGTTTGGAAGAAGGAAAATAAGACTCTGCATCCTTTCTGCTCTCTGGGCATCGCGTGTTCCCTGCTAGGTTGGAGGAGTAATCCAGTGCTGTCCAAATTGGAGGTGTATCTGCCTCCTAGGCAGACTACAAAATTTTGGGTAGATGCCTTTTATTCCTCTTCAACCTATAGGCATAGCAAGGTCTGGTTCTCAGTTTTTACTAGATCTTGAATCATTACTATCCATGGGAATTTCATGCCAGTATTTAAGCTCTTAGAATACAGAACAGTGCAAGTGAAAATCTCAGCGCAGCTGAAAGTTGAAATGAGAACCAGTTTCTCCTCCTCTTCCACAGGTCTGGCAGTGCTGAATGAGGAAGAGAGAGTTGTTTGTAACTGTCAATATCATTCTCTTGTTGTCTTTCAGACTGCTTGTTTTGAAACTGTCACTTCCCTACTGATAGATTTTTGCACGAGCATATAAAAATGCTGAGTTGAAAAAGAGATAAAAATATTCAGGCAAGCGAAACTAGCGTGTCCATACATACACAAGCATAATTGTCTATGAGAGAACAGTCATAGAGCAAAGGCCATTGTTTTCTCTACCAAATGCTCTCTGCAACTTGTTGCAATCACTTTTTATGATGATGGACGGTGTTTCTCAATCAGTGGGTTGTGAGCTCGCATGTTTGCCAATTACTTTTGTGTATTTAAGTTTGGTAATTAAAGATAAGCAGCGGTGTATCAAGCCAAGTACTAAAATACCAGAGGTGGAGTGGATTATGTGGCAAAGGAGAGTATATATATAACAAGATTTTTAGCTTTTGCACACTTAATAGTTTGGATCCATTTACCTGGGTTTTGCTTGTTACAAACTCTCTGCGGAATAGGAACTATGGCATGGAGAAAGGTGATTAATCTCCAACACCTACTTTATCTTCACTGGCTTATACTCCTCAGCAGTAATCAAGGACTCAGTTTTTTTTTAAATGTTCACTAATTTTGGGAGTTACATTAGAAATGTCTGAACTAAGGCACTGAGGGTTTGTTTTCTATAAGAGATGAGCACCGACAGCTCTGCCAGGGATCAGGTAAAGTTGGGGAGAATCAACATGCCCTCAAACTAAGTTGTAATTGTCTAATTGGGCACCACCAACTGAGGTATTGGCAGAGAAAGCTTTAGAAGAGAAAGGTTTTGCTGCTTTGTGACTGCTACGTGCCTTTTTTTCAGTTGGGATGAAAGAGGGCAACCATGGACACTAGACGCATCTCAGATCTTCCTGAGAATAACTTTGGAAACCACTTAGGCCAGTGCAAAGTCTGGCTGCAGGGACAGACAGACTGGTAAGGCCAGGCTGCACCTATGCACTCTCCTGACTGTTACTCCCTACTCTTGGCTGGTATTATTCAATATACAGGTTAGCCCTCATCCAGGTAGCTTTTTCAGGTAGCATTCACACTGCCTTGCCTGGACACTCAAGAGCACCTCCCAGCCCAACCCCGCCTAAGCTATTGATGCCCCAATTGTCATCGGGGAAGTGACAGAGCGTTCCTCCTGAGGGCTGTTCAGACTATCACAGCTAGGTTCCTGCATTGCAGGAGTGCCTCTCTCCATCTTCCTCTCCCTCCGTATAAGTGAAGGGGAGATGAGCTTCCCCTCTATGCAGAGGAAACAGGGCTCTTCTTCATTAAAGCTACACTTTCTGTTTTAGTGACACAGAAGGCATAACTGAAAGGAGCCCACACCAAGAGGCAGGTGGGGAAGGCAAGAACTGATGCTATCAGTATAATCCTTCATGGCCTCAGTCTGGCAAAGATTTAGGCACACAACTAAATTTATGCTCATCACTTCCCCAGTCACCTACAATCAGTTTCCTCTTTCTCAACCCTTAGTCTTTGGGGAGAGCAGAATAGTTGTGCTAGGCAGCTATCATCACAGTTAGGCTTAGCTTTCCTGTGATCACCTCTGATAATACTAGAGCCACTTGGGTACTTTTTTAAAAGCTGGCATTGCATTTTTCAGATAAGAATTCTACTCAGTTTGTGAGCTGGTTTGCCCCATTTGATTTACACATCTATCGTTTGTCATTATATAGTTATGCTTGACTGTTGGTTTTCTGGGAGAAAAAAGAGCATTAAAACATATTTTGAACATGTGTTTCTACAGAAGGCCCTGCATAAACACACACACACACACACACACACAAATCTAAGGATTTTTTTTTTCTAAAAAGAAATTAAGGAGAAATACTGGACTCTTAGACTTGACACTTTCCTATTGATGCATGTGATACATGAATATAGCTAAAACAAATCTACGGTATCTGATTTTTTCCAAGGAACATTCTTAGTATTTTTAT